AAACCATTCTCTTTACCCCTTTGGTTCTGCTGCCCTTTATGGTAACCATTCCCATCTGGTCTCTGGCATTGAAATGCAGCCCTTTCTTCCTCCCCTTATGGAATTCCATCATCCTCATTAAATTTAAGAAGCCCAGTTCTGTGGTAGCATTTCCTTATTCCAGACTTTCAGAGAAGAGCCACTACGAAGTTCTTTAAGGATTCCAGTACAGCCTTTGCTGATGTAAAGGGAGTTCAAAGCCTTGGCAAAGGGAATGCCTTCAGGAGCCTATTACGGGACGTATTTAACAGGTGGATGAGCATCTATCATATTAAAACCAATCTCCCTAAATATTTGTATACTTTACTACATTATAATAAGGAAGTTTTGGCATCATTTTTATTCAGTATAGACCACCACTGGGTTGAGTTTTCAGGCGCATTGTTAGAATTACTGTTGGTTACATGAAATAACACTTTAAATACAGAATATCCACTCAATGAACCCATATCTAGAGCATAGGCTGATGCAACATTGTATTTCCTCTGCCCTAATATAAAACCATTAAGAAATATTCCCGTACATATACACTGGGTTTAAGTTCATGTGAACTGGTGAAATCTTGAGATTCCTTTGGCATGTGTGACACCTCACATGTCACACTTTCTACTGGTCCCCTTGGATCTTCTAGGACATGATCCTGCATATGGATTTAGAAGACATTACAGATGGCAAAACATCAGCAGTACAGTTTAAACGGTTTTATTTGAAGATAGTCATGGAAGCTTTCTGGTTCCCAACTTAGACCTTGAACTGTGAATTTAAAACTCATGTTTATCATTCACCAGATTTGAATTCACACAACAGCAGGAAGAGCTGAGAAAGTGAAGGTCCATAAGAAGAGTTAGAGAATCAGAGGAGTCACCGACCAATCAGAGCAGCCAGGTAAGAAGGGATAATTTGTTAAGAGCTCTATGGGATGCTGTTGCCTCTGTGTAGCTTCCTCCTTTGTAGATACACAGCCAAGTACCCGGTAGTAGATTTGAATTTGCTGTTGGTCAACAGGACAAGCAGTCAGAAAGAATAAATGGACACAGAGCTCAAGAGAGCAAAGGCAGTCTGGAACCTGCCAAGCACCTGTGCCTCTGTCTCTCACTGCACCTGATTGCAAGAAGACTTTCAGATTAATGGGTGCTATTTCCATTTTGCTGTCCAAATCTCAATAACATTCCTCTTTTCACCAGCTCTTTTATTTTTAAGATTTTATTTATTTATTCATGAGAGAGGCAGAGGTAGAGGCAGAGGGAGAAGCAGGCTCCCCTCAGGGAGCCCAATGTGGGACTACATCCCTAAGCTCCAGGATCACACCCTGAGCTGAAAGCAGAGCCCAACCCCTGAGCCATCCAGGGGGCTCTCTTTTTGCCAGTTCTAACCCAGAATCACACAAATAAAGAGATTCTGGGAAATGTAGTTTGCCTTTTAATTAAAGATGGCAGTGTGGCTTTTAACTCTTTTTTGGCAGTTCGATTTCTATCAGAGACAGCTGAAATAAAAATATATTCTTATCTACTCAAAATAACAATGAACCCATTTTAAGCATTTAATATATGCTAACCATTCTGTTAACAACTTTACCTGTAAAACCTCACAGCAACCTTATAAGGTACTATTTTTTTCTTCGCATTATAGGTGAGGGAACAAGCTTAAAGGGATTCAATAATTTGCCCAAGAACACAATTTAATTGGATGCCACTCTCCAATTTCTGTGCATTTAGTTATCCTAATCACCTCCTTTGTTCACCAATGTTGAGTATGTTTTTATAATAGCCAAAAAAAAAAAAAAAGACTTATTTCACAATCAGAACTGTCCAAGTAATTTTCAAACTCTCAAATAATTTGATGAACCCCAATTGCTCATCTGGACATTGTACAGGCTTTTCAGCTGGAAAGACTTAGAGATATTTCACTTGGTTTTTGGTACAAACCAGAGAGAGAGGGAGTAAGGAAGGGAAATGGGGCAGAAAAAAGGAAAAATAGGAGAGAGAGAATGAGGAGAGGAAAAGAAGTGAAATAAGGTTAATTAATATGTAGACAGTTTTGCCTGGTGAACCATATGTAAGTCTATTTTTATGATTCTCATGTTTCAAAACACAGTAATTCTGGGTCAAATTCCAAGGGGAAATTATACTTTCATAAATATTTGTCATAAAGAAAAAGACCAAATGATTACCTGAATACTAAGGGTCGAGAAGCCCCAGATATGCACATTTCCACCGGATTTCCCTGCAGTTAGAACTCTTTATATTTATTTATAACCATTGTCACTCTAGATTGAAGTTACGACAATAAAGAGATAAAAACGCTGAACCAATATTTTTTGAGTTACATTTGGGTAAATTTTTTGAAAAGTTAAAAGGAAAACAATAAATTGGGTGTTACATGATCAAATAAATTTGGACAATGCTACATTTATCAAAGCAGAACTTCTCAGAGCCTTCAGGGTGAGCCTGTGCATCATAAAGTACCAGAAGAGAATGCAGAGTATGTCATAAACATTTTTGGCAATAGAATCCTTTTTTCACTGAGCTTGGAAAAACAACACTAAGCCATTCGTTAACCAAATTTAATTGGATTACCAATTTCCAACCAGAGTAGAGCCCTTCCTAGGGCTTTGGAAAAGACTAGAGTCATCATTATTTATTGAGCAAAGGACTTTGTGAGGGTCTTCAGACACGACTCAAGAGGAAGGAAGCATCCAAAAGGGCTGCTCTTTAGAAATGTATCATCTAGTGTAGGGCTTGTAAAGATGATAGAACAGTAAGATGATAGTATAAACAAATTGCTCTAAGATTTCAAAGGAAGGGGAAATCATACCTACTTGGGAAAATGTGCAAAGGTTCTGTGAGCTGTGAGTTATCAGCAATGGCCCATGAAGGATGACTAGGAGGTAGTCAACAGCCAGAGTTAGGAAGAAATGTTTCCAGGCAGAAGGACTAGCATTACCAGAGCACAGGGTGGGGTGAGTTGGGCTGGAGGTGGGGGCCAGGGAAGGGGAAGGAATAGCCAGTAGCAGGAGAGAAGAGGAAAAGCTTGATTTTCCAATTGTTTGTCATGCAGGTTATCTACAGAGATACTAGTAAGAAGTAAGAACTGATCATTTAGGTACATAAAGAATAGTGAACAAAAATGGAGAGTCTGAAACTAATAAACAGAAGGAGACAGTGTACACCCCTCCAGGCGTCTAGAGCATGGTGGAGGGATCTAAAAGAAGGATGCCTAAGGAAAACTGAAGGCTCATTTCACCTACCTCATACTTTGGCTCAAGAAAAGGCCTAATCAAATATATTTGGATCTAGGTTCTGTTTCTCCACTTGCCAATATAGAGAGCCAAAGAGAAGTAAGGTTCTTCGTGAAGATGTGTGTTATTCCCTGAAGAATCTTTTAGGAAAAGCAAACAGCCTGAGAAATATTTATTCATTAGATGTATTCTGGCAGCCGCCAGGAAAATCCAGAAAGTACCAAGCACTTGCACATACACATAATACACTTGATTCTTGAAGGCACTTGCGATTCAACTGTTCTACGGTTAACTGTCATGAAGTACCTCTGACTTTCTGCAGGAAACGCATTGTTAAAAACCACCCAAATGTATTTGAAATATTGTAAGACGGTGAAAGAGTTTGGATCCAAAAAATAATTCTTACAGAAAATGTTGATTGTTTAATCTAGTTTTCCAACTGTAAGTAGGACTTGATTTTTTCAAACTCCCCCACGCTTCTTGCTATAAAGAAGGTAAGTACTCTCTAGTGTCTTGCTCGATTGAGAACAAACATCCTGGCTGCTGCTTCTTGTAAGCTATATGGCACTCTTCTGAAATCTGGTGCTGATACATTCCACATGTGACCCCATTTACCCCTGGAAGAGAAGCCTTCCTGCTGAAGCAGATGGGTTTACGGAGGTGCAAACATAACAAACAACCTGTGTCTTTTTAAAACTGCCAATGTGTTTATCCTTCGCCTTCTCATGGTGGGGAGCTTTCCTCTTTTCTAGATGGAAAACCATATTTTCACAATGAGGAGTATGGGTTGCCCGAGGCAGAGCGGCTTGAAATGCAAGAGCTTATCTCCCTTAAAGTCGCCTCTACTTCTGGCTTAGCCCAGGTCCACAGCCTCACTCCCACCTTGGCTCTCTGAACAGCAGATGGGTTCACTTAGGACAGCACGTCATCCAAACCCAGCAGCCATGGTCCTCTCTGGTTCCAAGTGTACCATACCAACACCAGAACACCCCAGAGGGGGCTCTCCGGCTCGACACAGAGTCAGGGGGACCTCAGATAAGGAATGGGTCAAGGCAGTAGAAGGGGGCGCTAAATTACCGTAGCAAACTCTAAAGCAAATTCTTGCCATTTCTCCGTTCAGGCCAGAGCTGACAACCTAAACGTGGTCAGGTTTCACATGAGCCTGAGACTCTGGGAGTCAAAACAGGAGAAGAAACCAGATCCTGCCCGTCACGTGGGAGGCTGCATAGGCCTGGGCCAAGTCAGCTGTGTTAGCTGGGCGACGTTCAGAGAGAAAAGTGAAGTCATATCTCCCTTCCAGGTGATATTTCATGTGCTCCGATTATGGACTGTGACAGTGAAATTCTGGCAGTCTTTATCCAAAGAATACTTCCTCCGAAACTGATGCTGTGTGGAGAGACATTCAGCCCTACATATCTGATCTGGGCATTTTGTTCAGTTTGATAAGTGTAGCCCCATCTGTCCCAGTCAAGCACCGTGTGTGTGTTTGTGTGTGTGTGTGTTGTATGTGTGTGTGTGGTGTGTGTGTGTTGTGTGTGAAAGGCAAAGCAGGGTGCTGCGTTGTTCTTGGGTGTTGATGTATCGTCTCAAGCGTGCCACCCCAGTGTGGCTGCGAGACCTGGTTTCAGATGCCGGTTGGAGCGTCCTGAGGCTCATTAATAATGGACCAGTCTGACAAGAGCACTCTTGCTTCCTTTGTGTTCCACTGCAGACGAAGGGAGACATGGACCTCTCTGTTTTGCCAAATAACAACCATCCTGACAAATTCCTGCAGCTCGATGTGAAGTCTTTCATGAGGAGCTCAGCAATTCTTCAGGGCAGCCTGGTGAGGTTTCCAGGGGGGAGTTACCTACCCACCCAACGCTGGCAAAACCTTGTGTATTCGCAGGTAAAAATCCGGGAGATCAAATACATGGGGTGGGGCTCGTTTCTTTCTCACTATCTACTCTTTCTTTCTTTTTTTTTTCCTTTTAAGATTTTATGTATTTATTTATGAGAGACATGGAGAGAGAGGCAGAGACATAGGCAGAGAGAGAGAAGCAGACTCCCCGTGAGGAGCCTGATGAGGGACTTGATCCCAGGACTCCAAGATCACACCCTGAGCCAAAGGTAGATGCTCAACCACTGAGCCACCCAGGTGTCTCTTACTGTTTCATTAGTTGTCCCCTAAAGGAAAAAAAAAAAAAAGGCAGTAGGGAACATGGTGACAAAGTAGCATCTCACTCTTACAATATAAAAAAGGCCTTTCTCTCTTCCTTAGCATAAGGAAACTCTCCAATCACTTTATAAAATATGTGAATTCCCCCGACCTTCGTTTTTTGCTAAGCACTAGCTTCTCAGTCTGTCCTTGTTTTATTGCCTCCTTTTCATCTTACTCCTTTCCTTCAGAATTTTTCAAACCACTTGTTACACTTGCAAGTAAGACTCTGGAGGGACAAACCTACCTCTATCTTCTGGTGTGTTCTAAGCACAAAGCAGCAGATGCATGGGGACTGGAACACAGCCTCTGAGACATCCAGGGAACTTGCTTTTGCCTGATTTAGCTGGGCTCCCTTTCATTGCATGCAGAGAAGACTCAGCAGAACAATGGAAAACCTAGTGATTGAAGGAAAAGGAAATAGAGGGGAGCTCTCCTTGGAAAAGTGCTGGCTATCGTCTTAGATACTCTTATTTTCCACAGGTATCCATGTGGACAGGACATAACAATCAGAACTTCAAACCCAGAGCAGACTTTATTTGTTGCTTTCTTCTTTTGCATCTTGCTTCTTTTTGCTGACCAAAGGAGAAGAATAAAACCGTGATGAGTTCCATGTGCTGAAATAAACATAAAGGCCCTGACTGTGGCACAGCTCATGAAACAGGAATAATCTTTGTTTTAAGACGTGAGGGCTAATGGGGTTAAGGGTTAGTCAATTTTGAAACAGGAAGAAGCATTTCATTTCAGAACAGATGTGACTGACCTACAAACCCCTGCAAGTCATTAAATCCTTTGGAGTAGTTCAAATTCCCTGAACAGAAATTTGTTTTCTTTTAAGAAACAGTTGCTACTCATGAGTCCTGGTGTAAAGTGACTCCTTTGTGGTGTGTTTGTGGGCTCCTGGGGACCTTTATCATGAGATCATTCAAATCCAGTACACTCAAATGATTATGTAAGTGTTTCCTCCACCTATAAGGATTTTAATTTATTTCCATCATAAGGCAGCCTGTTATGACAACTGCCTTTGTAAAAAAAAAAAAAAAATTGACTCTTTCCCTTTTATAATCTTTAAAATTCTTCCCACCATCCATACATACCTTTTGGGTTCTCATTTTTGTATTTTAAGCTAGATGCAATGAAATTCCTCCCTTTCCTTCCTTATTGTTTATATCATGGAACAAAATGACTCAAAAATCAGTTCAGAAAACCTTGGCCCTCATATGCAATGAAGTTTAGTCAAAGAAAACATATCCAATAAATTCCTTTGAGGTTGGAAGACATCAATCTAACATCTTTTGTTTGTTACTGGAGTTAACCTATTTCCTTCCTGTGAATCTGCATGGTTTAAAACTCCGTTGAATGTTGTTTCTAAACCTGAGTGAAATGCATGCGATGTTTAAGGGGGCGTTTTTTTCAATAAGTAGGCCCTGATGAGTTGAAGTGGTTTTCCAAGGAAAAACCAAGAAGGTAAATAAAGATCTGCTTCTATGTCTTTAGATATATTACTGGTAACTGTAAACTGCACATAAACCTAGTAAATCTGTTATCCTTTTACTCTTTTTAAGGGTTTTATTTATTTATTCTTGAAAGACAGAGAGAGAGGCAGAGACACAGGCAGAGGGAGGAGCAGGCTCCATGTTGGGAGCCTGACGTGGGACTCGATCCTGGGACTCCAGGATCATGCCCTGGGTCAAAGGCAGATGCTAAACTGATGAGCCACACGGGCTGCCCTATCCTTTACTCTTAAAAAAAAATGTTAAATGACATAGAATAAAGGCCAATATGCTATTGAGATGGTCCATAGGGTTGGGGGGAATAAATCTTACAAATTCAGGTAGTTGGGGAGGCATGACACAAATTAGGACTAACTATGATTTACATTTACTACTTTTATTTATAATATGTGAATAAGTAATTCTTTCCCTGGCTGGATCTTAAAATTCAGGAATGATGTATTTGTGGCATAGAATATAAATCTAAAATAGAAAGACATAATGAAAGTTTTAAGTGGCTGTCATGTACCTAGAAGAAGGCACTGACTATACCAGGTATGTTAAGATGTTAGGTGTGCATGAGGTGGTATCTGTCAAAAGTTCTTCTTTTAATACCCTTACTCGGGGCACCTGGGTGGCTCAGTGGTTGAGCATTTGCCTTTGGCTCAGGTCCTGATTCCAGGGTCCTGGGATCAAGTCCTGCATGACAGCCCCACAGGGAGCCTGCTTCTCCCTCTACCTATGCCTCTGCCTTTCTCTCTGTGTCTCTCATGAATAAATTTTAAAAATATTTTAAAAAAATAAAATAAAACCCTCACTCTGTTGGGGATACATTTAGCCAATGGGTAGAGCAATGAACAAAGAAATTAGAAATTTGGTGTCTTATCTCAAATCCACAGTAAGCCACTTTAAGAGACATTTATTATGGCCCTTATTTGGTTCATGCCTCAGTATTTCCACTTGAAAAAATAGTATAATATTAATTTTATGTATTTTTTAAAAATGAGAACATACAATATGAGATAAAAACAATTGAAAGAAAAGGTTTCCTATAAAAGTTTAAGAAATTATTATTATTTGACAGTATTCCAAATTGTGTTGAAATTATCCTTTCATTGGATTTTGAAAAGACAGTTGATAATACTACATGCCTTTTCCTTATTTATAGTGTGGATGCAGGGCTGTGTGTGTCTCTGTGTGTATGTCTGTGTCTGCATAGATGGTGGTGTTAGGAAACATAGTCAATACATCTGTCAATCCATAACTCAAGTAGTAGATTTTATGCTCACATGAAATCCACACAGACTTCAGAGTTGTGTCGGCTTATCTCTGGGTCTTATAGCACCCAGGTGCATGGTGTTTGGGATTCAGACTACCTCAGGGAATGTCAAAGTACCTAACTACAACCATTACCTCCAAAATTAATAGTACCTCAGCAGTTAAAACACATATCCTATAATCCCAAATATGGGGTTGAATTCCTAAATATATGCATCATATTTATATGCATGATTTATCTCTCAAAGCTTTCTTAAAAACTCACATTCCAATTTCAGAGAAAATTCTGTAAGCCACTTTTACATGCAAAAGTAATTCTGGGCATAAAGAAAAGCAAGCACTTGTTCTCATGCATGCCACTCCCCTCCCCCAGGACACTGAATTCCATGCTGCGGAAACACACAGGTCACCGTGTTTGCAGGGAGAGAGTATGAGTGTATATTTCTTGATTCCACTATATTTATACTTCTTAAATTCTTACACTAGAGAAGTAAAGAAGCTTCACAATAAATTCCATCTCAGTGCAATGAACAAACGTTCGCCAAAATCTAATATTTCTGGTTGTTAAAATAATTTGGGGTATGTGTCTGATGAAGGCATTTGGAATTGTATTCCAAATATTTCTGCCAATCCCTTTATAAAACGAGGTAATGAAAGGAAAAGGCAGATTTTTTTTTTTTTAGTTTAAATGATAAAATATGTTTCAGATACTGTAGTGGGCTCTTTTATTATTATTATTATTATTATTATTAGCATAGACTTCGGAATCTTTTCAGACTAATCTCTTTGTTTTATCTTTTCCTGGCTTCCATCACATTTGTTTCAGAACCCAAGAGCATTCCATGCTAAACCTGTAAGTTGCAGTAAAAGGTCAAGGGTAAGAGATTGCTCTTGCCTTGAGTTCTAGACAGTGTCATCTCCTGGATTTATTTCCTATTCACCTTTCCTTGCCTTTTTTTTTTTTTTTTTCTGTCTTAATAGCTAATTTTTCCCCTTAAATTCTGATGTCTCTTCTCAGTTTTTTGTTTTGGGTGGATTTTTTTTTTTTTTTGGTTGTTTGTTTTGTATGCTATAATTCAACCTGTCTCTGGACATGTCCTTGAGATCTGTCCTGCCTTCCATAAGAATGTCTCTATTCCTAATCCTCCACTTACTGTTCTGAATAGAACAGCCCTGCTTGCCAAATAGTTTCCCATGTTTAAGCCTATATTTGGGGAAATGTTATAGAACCTTTGAAGCACTTAAATTATTATCTGGGAAGTAGACTGGGGGCATCATTTAGTTGCTCAGGGATTTACAGGCAAATATCAAAACATGATTTATCAAGTTAGGCTAAATTTATGTAATTCACAAAATCTCCAGTGGGGTCTGGAATTTAGCTTTGGACAGTGAGCTGCCAGAAACAACACCCAACCTGTCCCCACCATACAACTCTCAGACCAAACCCAAATGCCTCTGGCACTAAAGCCTTAAGGAAGCACACCATCAGTGTTATGAGAGAATGTGTGGGACTCCGGAGCCCTGGTTAGGTGGAGGTGAAGGCAGGGAGACAAGATTCAAGAGAGGCCTGGGTGAAACCACAAAGGCTCAGTAATTGTGAGATTTTATATTTTTATCTTGAAAATTTTGAGGAGTTGGTGAAAAATTTTATGCAAGAGAATCACATGACCAAATCTGTGATTTATAAAGATAGCCATTCTAGCAGTTTGGGAAACAGAATTACTGTAGTCCCTGGGGACCACAAGTTTGTTTGTACTCCCACAAGTAGTAAACAAAATGCCTTGTTTACATTATGATTATAAAAGGGATTTCACTGCATGTACAGATCAAATTGGAGAAAAATGGAAATCTTTATGATCGTGATTCTCCCAATCCATAAACATGGTATATCTTTTTCATTTCAGGACCTCATATGGCCTT